ACCTCACAATGCACCAAAAGTTTGTAAATCACAGAAATGCTTTTAAAACGTGAAAATATTGGACATTCGATTAAAAGACAAAAAGCTTTTGACGCTGAATATCAACGAATTCTTCTTCTTCTTGGTGCCATATCAGATTTTTGACGTCGGCGACACCCGGCGCAGATTAGTAAGTAGTTAATAATACGCCAAGGTGTTACTAAGGAAGGTAACTCAGAGTGATTTCCTGTTGCCTTCTCTGGGGAAACGAATTATGGATATAGAAATTCGGCATTGAAAAAAAGTTTTATAAAGAATTATGTCAATAATTAGACTACTGGCCTCACAATGCTTAGCTTTTCGTGAAACAACTGAACATTTGTTTCAGCCTAATAACGGAAACTTCCTGAAGTAGATAGAATTGCTTTTTGAGTTCGATCCAGTTATGGAAGAACAAACTCCATGAAGAGTTCCATGCTGTAAATGGTCTGTGACTTATCTAAGCAATAATATACAAGAAGAATTTACAAATTTGATGGGAGAAGTAATTGGAAGCAAAATTTTCGAAATAAGAAATACTGTATCGCTAAATATTTTCAATAATCGCCGATTATACCCCAGACGTAAGTCATATTGAACAGCTCTCATTAGCAATAAGAGTTGTCTCTTTTAACTCCATTCAAAATAAATATATAAGCGAAAAATACTTTATTGGTATTTTTTTTAAGCTTGTGATTCATTAGAGAGGGTTTGACAGAACTTATTCTGACATATTTGGAAATGTTAGGTTTTGAGTTAAAGTGGCTTAGAGGACAAGGTTATGACAACGGAGCTAATATGAAACGAGTAAGAAAGGTATACTTTTCTTCTGGTTCTACAAAGCGTTGGGAAGTACTGAAAGAATGTTTCACAATTAACTCTAAAATCATTGAGTGCTTCTAGGTGGTCAAGCAGAATAGATGCGTTAAAACCTTTACGATTTCAACTTTGAAAAATCTATGATGCATTATTCCAAATAATAGAAGACGTCAACAGAGATGCAGAAACTAAAGTGAAAGCAAGAGTGTTAGCAAAAGCTATTGAAAATTACCAATTTATATGCGGTGTAATTCTTTGGCATGATATTTTATTTTAAACTAGCTGCAAAAACCCGCTTCACTGGGCAAAAGGTAACGATAATAAAGATTTAGATAATTACATCATAGCCAATCTTACCCGTTTTCACAGAATGCAAGAATTAGGTCCCCTGTTTCCAGAGTAATTAGACAATTTCTACATCTAGTCAAACGAACTATTTTCAATTTTGTCAATTTTCTGGAACGTTTACAATCGTTCTATAATCGAACCAATTCGAATTTAAATTTAAATTCGAAAATTTTTTAAATCGAAATAGAAAATCTTCCACTTTCAACCACTTTCAAAGCCCATATCTCCTGCACTCTTATAGCTATCGGAATGCACCCACCATAGTGCACGAATGGAGACTTGGGGATACTACTTCATACAAACACCATTCACTTGAGATGTGTAGTTCTGGCTGAAAAGTGAAATATAGAAACACACACGTCTATATATATATATATAGATAATAGTGTTTATCAATTTTACAAAATGGTGCAAAAACTACATATTTTAACAGGCCTATTACAGACAGTGTATGCACCAGAGTCAAAAAACTAACATTAATTTTGAATGGAATGATGGTAATAAATACAATATTCTGTATGAAAAACTAATATATATATATATATGTATATATTGAAGCTTCATAAATGCAAGAATATATATTTTAATTCTAACATTTTCTTTATATTATTTTATGTATCTGGCACATATTCTACGAGCCGGAATCTCTTCGGCATCCGAGCGCGGGCGGATTTATACAGTCGACCCCCCTATAATTACGGTCCCTATAATTACGATTCCTATAAAACTACGAAAAAATTGCTACCGGTATCCGTAAAAAATAGTAAAAGTTCCCTATAAACACCTCAAACGTCATCGGGCAGCCAAACTACTTTCCCGCCGTCCGTAGCGCCAACAACGGAGAGATTTCTATCGTCTGGACAGTATTATATAAATTATATATAAATTAGGTACTGTACATATAATTATATATTAATTATATATAAATTAGGTACTGTATATATAATTATATATTAACTTATTGTAACTTTGTTATAATTAAATATATAATTTCCGCCGTCTAGCGTGGCGCCACGCTACGGAGATTTTTACGCTAACTATCGTCTGTCAGTATGTAAATTAGGTACCGTAAGTCTAATACAGTACTGTAATTTTATACATTTCTTGTGAAAGAAACATTTCTTATTCAACGGCGATTAAAATTATTTATATTAATGATGTCTCCGAAGTTCNAGATGAAAAAAACACTAGAAAATTATCGTACCAGTCTCCAGTCAATACTTTCGGTCAAAAATGAATCAGATATAAATGTAAATGATCTTCAAGAAGAATTCCGTGATATATCCCGAATGCTAGCATATTCTATGAAATCATTGAATGTCTTAAATAATTTGTGCCAAAATAACTTAATTACTTTGTATCCGAATACCGTTGTAGCTCTGAGAATTTTATTAACACTCCCTGTCTCTGTAGCTAGTGGGGAAAAAAGTTTTTCCAAATTAAAATTAATAAAACACTACTTAAGAAGTTCAATAAGCCAAACAAAACTTAGAAATCTATCATTAATTTCTATTGAATCTACATTGGCTGCCACTCTAGATTACGATTCCCTAATTAACGAATTTGCTAAAGTTAAAGTTAGAAGAGTAAAGCTGTAGTAGATTGTTGTAGTTGATATCAATATTTTATAGTAGTTTATATTTTCAAAATAAAAATAGTATTCATACATTTTGTGCAGTTGTTTTTTTTCACAATCGAAGGTTATTTTAAAAAGTAAAAATTTAAGGGGCAGAATTTTGAAGACTCGCATCATACTGAGAAAATCTACCGCACGGCCCTGTTTTCAAGCAATATTATTTGTCAGTCGAGGAAAAGTATTCTTGTCTGTTGCTTTAACTTTATCAAAAAAGCATAACAAAAAAGTATACTTCGAAGACATTCGAATAACATTTAAGACTGTTCGAAAGTGTCGTGGATACAACTTTTGATTTATCTCCATATTTTATTTTATACAGTTCTATACTTTCACGAGTATTCGTTTTTTCTTGATGTCAAAAACCTAAAATAAAACTCGAGCAAATCAAATAGCACGGCACCGAATAATATTTCCGTTTTGAAACGTTTCCATTTTACTTAGATGCCGCGATTGACACGTTTTATTGTATATAACGAAGATTTAACCGAAGGATAAATTTCTTGTTCATTTAAGTTCATAAAATATTTAATATATTTAATATATATTTTTTAGCTCATTTACCTTCATGATTTTTAATGTAATAGGCCTATAACAGAATTAACTAATTCAAATTTTATATCTGTGTTTACTATGATTGTATTTCGTACGCATTAAACGCTATCATCTGCTGTAATCCACAGGCGAAGAACACGTTTTATTATTCCTTTCTATACTCACAAGTCAGATTTAACCGTTGTTAAACTATAAATAATTATTACAGATTTTGATTATATTTATTAATTTAAATTATTCGTTTTTATTACTAAATATATTCTTTATAGTTTTAATTAATTTAAAGCAATTATTATTATAATTTTTATAATAGTTGAAGTGGTTACAGGTATTTTAAATTAACATTTATATACTGTTGTATAATAGATTATTTTACAATTATTTATTTAGTCCTTTTATATATGTAGTGTATATCTAAAAATTATGTAACATTTATAACGAAATAGAAGATTCGGTGTTGCGCCGAATTTGACAGTAAGATCAATTATTTCAGCAAATCTACAGCAGCCAGAGATGTATTAACATTAAATAATACTAGATAATTTATTATCGCAATATTACAACAATTTTACACTAACGAGAAGACTCTCAAATATACCATTAAAGAGATTTTATCTTCAGTCTGGTTGCAAACAGAAAACAAAAAAGGCTACAAGAGTCTTTGAGAAAATGCAGTAAAGGCCAACGCAGCTGGAAAATAATGATTTGTTTAAAAGGAAATCGAAAGACGTGCTAAAATAACACTAAAGGATAGACAATTAAACAGTGTTGACCAACTTCTGACAGAAGGTTTAAAAGACGTGTGAAGTCGGTAATTACACAGTAAAAGAAGGCGTTTTAGAAAGGGAAAAAAATGCTAATATGAGGAACATCAATGTGAATGTAACAAAAATCTCGTTAAACGTTTGCGAACTGACCTCGTTTGGTTCGGAAAATCTATGTTTTTTAAATATTCGAGGTAAAAATTAGATAAAATTTTTTTAAAGAGAAGAGAAAATAAGACAAAACTGCACGCATTTCCGTTGTGCTGGAAGAGAATGTGGAAAGAATTTTAGAGTAAATAATTGTCTAATGACCAGGTTTAGGAGAGAGCAAGAGAAACCAAATTCATTCTTAACACTATGGATAAATGAAAAATTAAGACGATAGGACATCTATTAAGACATTCAGACCGAATAAAAGTATCGTTTGACTGAATGATAGATAAAAAGAAGTTAGAGGTCAACCTAAAATCAAATATTAGGTGTTGTAAAAAGCAGAACACATTCCTGAATTTAGTTGAATAATTTTTAAAATAAGAAGGAAAGAAAAGCATTAGCAGTCGATGGCTTAAAACGGAATATTTAAAACACAGAAATCAAGACAAACGATGCGCATTCAAATAGACAATAAATTTCTCTTTAATATCATGTAATGCGCTTCAGAATAAAATAGATTCGATTGGCTATTTTCTTTGTTAAACTTATTTTTTTCGTTAGATTATTATCGCGTTTTTCACGAAAACTTTGCGATTTATTTATATTCATTATTCATCGTCAATTTGCCGAATTTTTCGGTATTTTAAAGTTATTTTCATACTTCAGAAGTTCTTAATTTCATTGAATCAGTTTAATATAAATATACTTACAACGATATCAATTGTCCGTTACTGTATTTAATACGTTCATCTTTGATTTTGCAATATCCGACGTTAAAGTCTATTGCTGTCCCGAGTACTGAAAAATAAAACGAAGAACGTAATTACAGATTTAAAGAATCACATAAATTAATTTTTCAAAATGACGGTTTAATTTATCGCTTGTCACATTTTCAATTTATTAGAAAAAATGAGGTTTAAATGCATTGCTTGTAAAATCAAATCTAACTAAGAGAGGAAAAAGTATTTTAAGTAAGAAAAGTCGATCTACTAATATGATTCCTCCCTGCAGTGGAAGGAATTTTAATTGGAACTTTTTTCTTTAAACACATCTGAAACATTCTTTACAAATTATTAACAGAATCTGTCATTGATGGGCACTCCATACATTACAGTTACTACTTCCTTATAAAAATAGCATAAAAACAATATTCTTTTTTATATATTACAATCTAAATCTTGTTAATCCGAACTATTTATCGCAAAGAGTTTACAAATTATTGACTAGTAGTTTATAAAATTCTTTATACTGAATTACATATTTATATCCACTTAAAATTATGATTCGTTAGAATGATTTTGTGTTGTTTTGGCTGAATACAATAGAGAGAATTGTTTAAGATCGAACAGACAGTTGATTAAGGCATGTTCGGATTTACAAAAGTATTTTATATAATTAAAAAATATCAAACGACTTACTCCAATTCCCAACGTTTCTTAAGTCTTTATCACTGCATGTACTCGGAATGCACACATCGAAACGTATTTCCATCTTTGTATCGACTAAATCTGTTTTCAACGTATCTTCAAACCTAATTGGTTCCTATAAAATTCATTAATTCGTTGTGTAAATAGATTTAACTGATAAATTACACTAAAGTGTATTAATTAATCCTTCGCAAAATTTTTTGTTAAATTTTAATACTTACAATAATTTCTTTTGCTAGTTTAATCAATGAATTATTTTCCAACTTATGAATCGACTTTGCAATACGTTTCAGTAATTCTTGCATTCCAATTGTCAGGGCACAGTATTTGCCTCGAACCTGTTCCGTTTCTTTATCGGTAATATCTTTTTTATTTTGAGGAATTTCTATGTCTAAACACTGGTCATAATCTCCCGGTATCCATAGTGTTACTCCTAACATTCCTGCCGGTAATTTTCCAAAAGAATCAATCACTGGAAATAGTAAATACATACAATTAATTAAAGTTATCTTTATGTACCATATGTTTGAAAAAACAAATCGAAACAAAAAGATTATATTTTTCCGTGGAGACTCACAGTAGAGAGAGCCTTCGATACATGCGAAAAATAGCGCATACGCCAAATCGCAAATAAGGATGCTAAAATTCAACCGGAAATAAATGAATTTTTAAACGTGTCTGAAACTGTAATTTGTATATTTAATTCGACTGGGAAGAACGGAAATGATGACTACCAAAGATTTAAGGCAAAGTGCATCGTTAATGACGTTAAACATTGACAAGCGGTGTTTCAAATAACAACTGCAAAAAACTACATACTTTTTCGGTCGATATGAAATTTTATTCTAAAAGCGTTTTATATTGTTAATTATTATAAAATAGCAAAACGCTTGAATTTGAGGAAAGTGATAAATTTCATAAAAGATCTTAAATGCTAATAACGAGTTAAATTACTAAGTCCGATCCATCTCAACGTATCAGACGTGATCGCCTATCTGTCAGTATCAACCGTTAGCAATCGACAATTTTTGTATTATCACTTTCATATAATTTTTAATTTAGTGTCATAATGCCAAATTTTGTTACTTAACCTTTACCACATTCTAAGATATTAAACGAAATTTTTGGGTTCAGCAAGTCTCAAGACGTGAAGATTTGAAAAACAACACGGAAGATGAAATTTGAGAGGATTCCAAAACTTTTCTTTATTTTGTACACATACGACCTGTATAGTACAACAACGGAAAAAAATTTTATAAACGTCGTAAAATATTTATTTAGCGTGACCATCACTGTCGCTGCCTCTACAGTTATCAGTAAAAGTTAAAGAATTAAAACAGAAACTACACTAAATATGAATATAAACATACTAAATAAGATTACTGCGCGAAAACACTAAGTTTCATATTCACTCGTAACCAACGTTGAAAATGCGTAAACAGAGGTCATTAATTTATAATTGCCGTGTCGAAGGAATAACGTTCAACCTACCTGCAAACGATGCAGATTAACCGAATCGGCATTGTTCGAAACCGCATATATCGAGGGCCAAGGTTATTGTAAATCAAACGGGTCAATAAGATTAGTGTAGTAAGTGTATGGAATCCCTAAATAATGTGGGTTAGTTCAGAATGTATACGGCGCAAAAATAATTAACGTGAGGTCCCAAAAAACGGGTCGAAGTTAAATATTTATATTAGAAATTTATTAAACAAAACTAGAGAAGTAAAAGAACCTTCATTAATAAAAACCGATAATAATGAATAGAATTCAGTTGTCACATAATACCGAGACAAGAAAAAATACTATTAATGTAAGACGTGACGAAATAAATGTAAACGGGTGTCCTCCAGTAGAGAGGGAACTTTAACAAGGCGCTCGTATACAAATAATTAGAACATAAAATCTTTTGGAAAAGGGGAAAAATTAATAAAAAAAATTAAACATCACTTCAAATCGAATTTTACGAAGTANTACTTCATAGAACTGTCTTTACATCTTGCATATGATATAATTTGTATATATTTTTATGTGTATAAATATTTATATACATAAAGAATGTACATAGGTGTACTAATATACAAAAAATATACATTAGTACTGAAAAATACAAAACTAATAGAAAAGAAACGATCACGAAACCAGAATAAATAAACCAGATTTCAGAAATGAACACATGCGTATCACCAATACTGAAACACTTTGCAAGTATTTGCAGATTAATTTCACAGAAGATTTGGTGGTAGAAAATAGCAACTGTCAAATTGAACGAATGAAAAAATCGTGACAAAAATCATCGAATTGATTGCACATATGATAAGAAGAATTTAACTGTCAACCTACGCCGTAACATGAAGTTCAATCGATTGTTGAGTATTAGAGAAAACGATTCCCATTGTTTAATAGAATGATTTCGCCTAATTACGGAAAAATTAGTATGTCGCTCCAGCAAACAATTATTGTATTTTGTATTGCGAAATGTGTAAGTTTCGTGTCACAGAAGATTCGAGAAGTTCTGTAAATATTTTTTGTCGCATCGTACCGTCGTTGAAAAGTTAAATAAAAGAAGGAGATACAGCCCGAAGAACAATGAATACATTGAGACTAAGGATGCACCGATTAATCGGTAATCTGCCATATCGACCATTTACCCGGTTAATCGGTTTTAATAATCGGCCAATTTTGCATTTTAATATTTTTGTTAGCATGTCACGTATAAGGCTAGTAATAAAAAATAATAAATTTCTGTCATATATTTGTTATTTAATGGATATTACTTGACAATCTAAATATTAAAAAAAATTTTAACTTAAATTATTTTTTTTATCAATACATATCATAAGGTATAATATAACCTGTTCAAAACAATCTGTATTATTTAAAGTTTAAACTTTAAACATATANACGTGACGAAATAAATGTAAACGGGTGTCCTCCAGTAGAGAGGGAACTTTAACAAGGCGCTCGTATACAAATAATTAGAACATAAAATCTTTTGGAAAAGGGGAAAAATTAATAAAAAAAATTAAACATCACTTCAAATCGAATTTTACGAAGTAATAGACTAGACAACAATTGATTAAAATGAGCTTAAGTTCAAAGTCCCATCTACACCATTCATGCAAAGTTAATGAATAGTGTCGGGTAATTTCCCAGATGCGAACCTTTTCCGGACCCGAACAGGTCTCGTATTTCGCTTAGAGACAAACGTAAAGCCAATCCTGACGAGGGATTAACGATTCCCTAAGGGCTGTTTCACACTATGACAGACTAGACCGACTAGGCCGACCCCACCGGTTTTATAATCGGACCGGTTAGTAGTAAAAGCATTCGAACTAAGTACGATTTTATGTCGGTGGCCGACTCATAAGGACCAATCAGAACAATACACTAGCCAATCATGGTAAGTTTTTTAAATTGAACAGAAAAGATGGCCGTCATGGAAAGCGATCGTGCATTTAGATATATCGCGTCATTATTACAATATTAAATTAGTCAATCACGTACATTCAACGCTTAGTTTCTTGGAAATCTCCGTCCGAGAATTATTTTTTTTTATGTTGTCTTTATATTCGGCTCGTCGAATATCATAAAACCACGGATATGTTTTGACTTCGATTATCAAAGTTTCCGAGAAATCTATACTTTCCGCCATTTTCTAACTTCGACGTAGATTGGATAAATCTAAACTTTGATTGGTTGTAGCTTCGAAACTCTCATTGGCTGTAGCTCACCGACTACTCCGACCCGACTACAAATATTTAACTTTTCAAATCTGTCAGACTGGAACGACTAGTCGGGCGGCAGACTGCTGTTGCCATGGAAACACGACTTGGAGTCAGGCCAGTCGGTCCAGTCAATAATGATGTGAGACAGCCCTAAGGGTACGGCTATGCAGATGCGAATTTAGTAGCGAGCGAGAGTATGCGAGCGATATACTTCTCGCAAAGGAAAAGCAATGCGCAAGCGAAAAGCGAGAAATAACGCTGGCGAGAGCGAATTTCTGGTTCTCGCACATATCTGACAGGTTTTGATATTTATCGCGTCTTTCCTTTTCTCGCCACATATTCTCGCTTGCTCGCCTATGCATAGTCGTATCCTAAGAGTCTTAAAACTTACACTGGTGCGAGAAATGGGATTTTAAGTCTGCAATCTCCATCACGTCATCGAAGCTACCTTAAATAATTAGGCCTAACCATCTTGTCATAAAGCTATTTAAATGAGGGTCACTATGTGTTAAAGTACCGTATTTTAACGAGTATAAGTCGCTGTCGAGTATAAGACGCACCCCTATTTTGAGACAAAAAATTTAGAAAAAACTTTTTTAATGGGAGATTGCATTTTATTCGTTTTTTTTATTAAAAAGATGTATTTTATTTGTTTTTTATTCAAGAATATGACGGATGGGTGAATCGACACCTTTATTAAACTGAAATAATTATCATTTCTTAATGTAAACTCAGAATTCACGCAATAACAGTCGACAGAACACGGCGGTGATGACTCGTGTGTCGCTATTCTGATAATCTAGGTACTCTAGCCATTCTGTTGAGGACCATGTGCTTAACGAATCACTGCACAGGTTGGTCCCTAGAGTGGACCACTACTGTAAATAATTTCACTGTAAAAATGGTTACCTGTCGAGTATAAGACGCACCATGATTTTGAGCCCCAAAAAGAAGTAAAAAAAGTGCGACTTATACTCGTCAAAATACGGTAATTAATTTCTATACAAGGAACAAATGGAATGCACGCTGTGGGAATAGACTAGGAGTGTTTGTAGTGTGTGACTCACTGTTGAAGCTTATGTAAAATGCTTTTTTTCTTTTATCCCGTATTTCTCTTTACGTGTTATTTTCTTATTTTACGATTAAAGTTTATTCAATAATTTGTATCATAATAGAGAAAAATCTTAATCAAACTTCAAATCATAATTATTCCATAAATTGTATATTTCCTTATAAATTACAGTTTAATGAGTTTGTAACTTCATTTGCCTGACTTTAAAACTGTAAGAGGCACCAACTGTTACGATATTTTTAAATAGTCACAACTTTTAATATATTATTATAATACTTATAATTATTATTATAAAATGGGAAAAAGCTGCATTTTGAGGATAATTAGGAATTTTAGAAAAAAATTGTAATTGTTAATAACGTGTTAAACCTTTATTAAGTCACAAATTTCTTGAGATATGAGACCTGACTACTTACATTTTCTATTCCTTAGATCTATAATCGTTAAAATTTAACATGAATAATGTTAATTAATAACACACAGATCTCCTTGTAAAGACCTAGGATTAATTCTTTTTAAACAAGAACACAAACAGAAAGACACAGGAATTCTTATGCTTTACAATGAGTGAACAACTTGTGCAAAACACGCACACACAAACACATCTATATCAAAATCCGAAAATAATTGCGATTTTGAACTATCCGAGTTCGAATTAACGAGGATTCCCTGCACACGGAAATCCTCGTATATAACGTAATTAATGCTACCACTTTTCAACTTTCCCTTCACCATGTAAATTGAATGACTCTGCTTTTTTTTCTGTCATAATAAAATAATCCCTACAGGATTTTTTGTAAACCTGCACGATTTCAGACTTTCCGAGTCCGGTTTTTTAAAAAAACCTGACCTTGCGTGATACGAGGGTTACCTAGCTTAAGTTGTAATAATTTATAACATTGAAGATTACTTACTTCGAAGAGGCCACTCTTTCAGTTTCATCAAGTCTTCCAGGAAGAGAACGGAAGACTTCGTGCAAGATAAAGATACCTTCACTTCTTCGGAAATTTTCATCAGATAAGGAAGACTCTGGTTTAAGACAGACTTCAAAGCCGTTTTGATTCGCATCTCCGCATTTTCTAACATCATCGACGTTTGTCGGAAATCATCGCCGTCTTCAAGATTTGTATTGTTGCATTTCGCGTAACACAAAAAAAGCGTCAAAATTAAGAAGTAATTAAGAAATCTTTCGTATTGCATTTACGGAGCTTTCTCTGTTTCTATGAACAACTTGTAAGTCGCTTTGCATTNTGTTATATAGAAACACACACGTCTATATATATATATATATATATATATATATATAAATTCAGTTTCGAAGCTATTGCAATCTGTAACTATAAATTTGTCAGATTGTATGAGGATGTTATCAGAAACCATAAAACAGTGAAAAGTTATAGACAATTCGAATATAGTCAGATGAAAATTGCTGTTAAGAGATTGTAGAGAATCTTGAATGCAGTACAGAATATCCTGTCGAAACTGAAGTTAGAGCCAAAAGGAAAAAGCATCAGTTTGACTACGAAGAAGCTGTCAATGTACCCTTGACAGAAGAGATTAAATTTAAAATAAACTTTTTAAATTATATTCTGAACATTTCCCTCAATTCTCCGAATGAACGATTTACGCTTCTGAAAACACATAGCAGAAATTTTAAGTTTTTATATGACATTTTAAAACTTAAGGATTTAGATGAAGAAACGCTAGAAAATTATTGTATCAGTCTCCGGTCAATACTTTCGGTCGAAAATCAATCAGATATAAATGTAAATGATCTTGAAGAAAAATTGCGTGATATATACCGAATGCTAGCATATTCTAAGAAACCTTTAAATGCTTTAAATTATTTGTGCCAAAATAACTTAATTACTTTTTATCCGAATACTGTTGTAGCTCTGAGAATTTTCTTAACACTCCCCGTCTCTGTAGCTAGTAGGGAAAGTGTTTTCCCCAAATTAAAATTGATAAAACACTACTGAAAAAGTTCAATAAGCCAAACTTAAACTTAAAATCTATCATTAATTTCTATTGAATTTACATTGGTTGCCACTCTAAACTACATATCCCTAATTAACGAAATTGCTAAAGTTAGAAGAGTAAAGCTGTAGTAGATTGTTGTAGTTGATATCAATATTTTATAGTAGTTTATATTTTCAAAATAAAAATAGTATTCATACATTTTGTGCAGTTGTTTTTTTTTCACAATCGAAGGTTATTTTAAAAAGTAAAAATTTAAGGGGCAGAATTTTGAAGACTCGCATCATACTGAGAAAATCTACCGCACGGCCCTGTTTTCAAGCAATATTATTTGTCAGTCGAGGAAAAGTATTCTTGTCTGTTGCTTTAACTTTATCAAAAAAGCATAACAAAAAAGTATACTTCGAAGACATTCGAATAACATTTAAGACTGTTCGAAAGTGTCGTGGATACAACTTTTGATTTATCTCCATATTTTATTTTATACAGTTCTATACTTTCACGAGTATTCGTTTTTTCTTGATGTCAAAAACCTAAAATAAAACTCGAGCAAATCAAATAGCACGGCACCGAATAATATTTCCGTTTTGAAACGTTTCCATTTTACTTAGATGCCGCGATTGACACGTTTTATTGTATATAACGAAGATTTAACCGAAGGATAAATTTCTTGTTCATTTAAGTTCATAAAATATTTAATATATTTAATATATATTTTTTAGCTCATTTACCTTCATGATTTTTAATGTAATAGGCCTATAACAGAATTAACTAATTCAAATTTTATATCTGTGTTTACTATGATTGTATTTCGTACGCATTAAACGCTATCATCTGCTGTAATCCACAGGCGAAGAACACGTTTTATTATTCCTTTCTATACTCACAAGTCAGATTTAACCGTTGTTAAACTATAAATAATTATTACAGATTTTGATTNTAATTTGGAACATTGAAAATTACTTACATCTAAGAGGCCACTCTTCCAGTTTAATCAAGTCTTTCAGGAAGAGAACGGAAGACTTCGTGCAAGGTGAAGATACGTTCACTTCTTCTCATCAGGTAAGGAAGACTCGGCTTTAAGACAGACTTCAAAGCGGTTTTGATTCGCATCTCCGCATTTTCTAACATCCTCGACGTTTGTTCGAAATCATCGCCGCTCTCGAAATTTGTATTGTTGCATTTCGCGTAACACAAGAATATCGTCAAGAGTAAGAAGAAATTAAGAAACCTTTCGTACTGCATTTTCGGAGCTTTCTCTGTTTCTATGAACAACTTGTAAGTCGCTTTGCATTTACTCTCGTCAAAAAGTTTATCAAAGTGTATTTTTTGGTTACAAAAAACTGACTTTTCAATGACAACTACTTTCCTGGAACTTCTTTACAAATTATTTGTTTTCTACAATACAAATAACTTAAATAATTTTTAAATGTTTTAATTATTTCCGGTGTTGAAGTGACTCGATTATCGTTTAAATATTGAAAGAAAAAGTATAAAGATAGATTTTATAATTTTTAAAATATAATTGTTTATTTTAATATTCAAGGGCAAAGTGTTTGGCTGACAAATGTAATGTGTCGAATTGCGTGACAAAAATTCGTAATTAAAGTACTTTCTACTCTGTATTTTTTCAAAAGTTATTTGCATAAAATAAATTACCGCATAATCAAATAATTTTCTTGAGTAAATGCTCTTTTAGGCAGATATTTTACGCTAAATGCGTATTTAATATACGCTATCTCTTTTTTTCTTACAGATTGTTTGTGCAGATAGTAAAATCTTGGAATTAAATAAGCAGATTTAGTAAATTTTACTTTAAATGGCGACAGTTAAACTGTCTGTCTGGTGCGTAAATTGAAACATAATGCTTATTGGCAAAAAATTCGTATTCGGTGGGTTTTATATCCGTGGTGAATCGGGCGACGACCGCTTTACCACGCAAAATTTCAGATCTTTTCGATCAAAAAACAAAAGTTATAAAATTCAAATTAGATGAACAATAACGTCCCCCGCCCAACACACATTAATTTATATAAAATAACACCGAACTTTCCTTTTTTATTTCTCGATGCGTTAAAGACTGCCGAGTTAATAAATATAAACTCCGAAAGAGTAAACAATAATATTTTAATGAAAATAAATAAATAAAATTAATAATATAGAAGTAAATAATATAAAGAACTACAAAAACGTAATAAATAAAAAAATAGTTCCACAAATAAAATATTATTTATTGTTAAAGTGTCTGAGATTTTACAATTCGATAATAATTTTCGTAACAGGTTCCAAAGCAGAAAATTCAAAACAGGTGTTTGTAATTTACATTTGTATCAAGGACTCCGATACATAAAAACTTCTTTTTTTACACGAAGGAAATTCTTTTATTTTATATTCATAACAGTTTATTAGATTTTTGTAACAGTTTTTTTACGCAATCCAGCGTGTACTGTACGTTGTTCGTTGTTACACCAATTTGTAGTATTTTACGCTTTATCTTAGTATTTTAATCTGTTATATATGTTTATATATATAACAGATATATGTTATATATGTTTATATATATAACAGATACCGCTGGTTAGTCTCTAGATATAGCAAGGATAAAATTCGTTAAACGTCACCTTTATATGTTATTTATATCGTTACTTTATAAGCAAATTTATTCTCGATATTAAAATATTTATTCTGTGCATCGCAATTACAAATTTCATCAACTTTACCTAATCTATGTTAATAAATTAGTGTTTATTTTTGCAGCAGTTATACAGAGGAAAAGTATGAAATCAGTAAAAAAAAAATGACCTAGCACATGTTAATGTTGAGAAATGAAAAAGCAAGAAATTAAATTGGTGTTTTCAATGTACACGTATATAAAAGGGACGATTTTGTTTACTTTTTTAAAAGCATAATAGCCCATTCCTTTTTTATCAATAATTCTTAAAATTTGACAGGGAAATTTCTTTATTAAGGGGAATGTTGTCATTAAATTTTAGTAGTTAAAGATGGAAGGGATAAGAGAGAGGTTGAGGCGCACGTTTTAAACGTGTAAACGTGTACGTGTGACGTTCGGCGCCGCTTTCCCGTAAGCCTAAAAGTTTGACGATGGTGTTTGGAATGTCGAGCGTGATTCCACCGACTATCCAAACACCATTGTCAAACTTTTAGGCTTACGGGAAAGCGGCGCCGAACGTCACACGTACACGTTTACACGTTTAAAACGTGCGCCTCAACCTCTCTAAGGAAATATGGGGAGCCACTTATTACATTTTCAAGTCATTTACTCGTTATTAGCTCTTGCAATTCTGTATAAAACTCGTCTCCACTTTGAAAATTAAGATTTTGCCATTTTGTAATAATTAAACAGAAAAAATTTTAGTAAAAATCATAACAGACGGCGCCACACACAAATTTTACATTTTTGTTGGAAAAGTCGCTGAAGTCGATGCTGTGTTTTTATATTTGACATAAATCGTAAAATTGATTTTACTAGTAATTACACGTTTAAAAAATTAATCTTTCAAAACAGGGGAAAAAACAGAGTTAATTTATCGAGGATCTAAACTCTGAAGGTTAAGGGATGGTGAGTAAACGAACGAAACGGCAAGAAATATCCGGAGATGGACGTAGAGTGTTGCATTATATTAATTAATACCTCAGAATATTGATAATGATGAGTGTAACTATATATTGATTTTAATATTCTTATCGCTTTCATCATAAATAACGTCAACCTTTGTTTAAAGTAAAAGAAGAAGTTATAAACTGAAATAGTATTTGTAAATTTCAAAACTGGATGTCCTTGATTACTAAATATTTCGAATGCACTTCCACTCCTTAATCAAATTTAAGCTAATAATTAAATTGTACTCGCCTAGAGTAAATTTGTTTATAAACGTTTTATGTCGTAAACAGTGATATATTTGTGATAAAAAAAAAACAAAATCTAGCTTTAGGCCTTTGCCGCTCTCTTCTCGGCTTTATTTTGTGTTATGTATATATATGAGGATGTTTGTTTGTTGGTTCACTATATACTTTAAAGCCGTTTAACTCGAGCAATTGGTACAGAACTCGGTAATTACGTTCAAATACTTCTACCTTACATCGTGTTATACAGCTCACCCCAAAATATCGATTTTCTTTTTATAAATGAATTTTTTGTTATTTAAATTCGAT